ATTATTTGCACATGATTTATTGTAAGAATGGGCTACGTAATACCCTTGTAAAAGTATTTTAAACTGTATAAAAAAAAATTGAAATCAATTGTGAAAATCCATTCCTTATATAGGACGGTCTCCTGTTATTTACAACATATTTTTTAATTAAAAAATATTCATTCTACCATTTGATTTTCTTTTCTGTTTTTTTTTTGATATCTACTAATTAAAAATTTTTTTTTTTGAAGTTTCTAGTTTGACTCCATTCATGTAACACTTCTGCTGGTGTCTTTTTACATCCAAATAATAAATCCTAATAAAGCATTCTTTCATTGTTAATGTTTTTCTTAATTTAAAATTATAAAAAAAGAAATCAGCACCAACCATCTTTATATAATTTGTTGATTAAAAGAGAATTTATTTTTAACAAAAGTTAATTCTATCGATATAAAAAAGGAATTGATTTTCTGCAACTCAAAAATTGATAATAAACATGTTTTTTGTGGAGATTTATCAGTACAAAAAAGTTCAGCTAGCTTAGAATATCATATTCGAAGGGCTTGTCGAGGAAGATTTAGAGTTCCTATTGGGAAATGATTATAAAAAAATTTAAGAGAGCTACTAGCATTAGCTTCAGGCAATAATCTAAACCAAAATCAAACAATCAAAAATCTATTCCTACAATAATAACCAATAAATGTTATAAAAAACTTTCAATCTTTTAATCTTGGTTTATTATCATTTTTGTTTACAGTATCACTATTCTTATATTTAAAGCCTATAATTCTTTCTATATAAAAATAATATATGAATTAATAAATCAAAAGCATATATAATTTCCTCCTATTCAAAGGGAAAAAACAAAAAAATGATTTTAAAAATTTCTACATTATGGGGTGCAACAAGCACATATATATGTGTAGTAGCTTAGAAGTCAATACCCGTATAGCTATTAAAGTTGCAAAACACTAGTACTAGATAATTTTTGTTGATTAGTATATTATATAGTATTCACAAAAATCTTTGTAAATGATAATGTGAACAAATTAATTCATGATCGATCAATGATCGTTTTTTTGTGGGGTATTTAGCCCAAATCCGGGGCGGATATTGCATTTATTTTGCATATAATACTACATCACCTAAATTGGTAAACAATCAATCATATACTTTTATTCCGATTATTTCAGATTTCTAATCAAGGTTCTCTTAAATTATGCATTACTTACAACCAATTTCTTTGATACGTGATAATACCTTAATTTGCATTGAGGAAAATTCCTTGTTTTCAGATCCAAACGCGGAAAAATTTTCTCTATTTCAACTTTTCAACTTAAAAGTAACGACCATTTAGTTTTTTTTTGGTTTGCTTTTATTAAGACAACTTTTATTTATTTTACTTTATTTTTCCTTAGGCACCAATTGACGAAACTTCTTTATCTCGCTCGATAATACCAGTTGGACTTCGTCATTTATATTCTTTTGAAGTTAATGAATATAATGGTAAAACTGCAAAGGTATTTTTCATTATTTAAATTTATATATATAATTTGTTCATGGTTAAATTAATCAGTAATAATCTTTTTTTTATATAAAAGGTAAAAATAAGCTTCCGCAACCAAGTTCACACAGACTTTCATAACTTACTTCGACTTGCTGGCACAAATCTTTTTTACTTAACTGAAAACGGTCTAAATGATTGGGTACCTATTGATAATATAACTTTTCAATTATTTCACCCAAATACAATCAATCCGTCATTCTGTGAAGCTGGTGGTAGCAATAATGATATTAACGACGACGATAATATTGATGATTATAACTCAACTTTATTGGAAGCATCAAATTTACCAGAAGATACTGATAGTGACTGGCTTAATAGGAAATTGCATGAACTAGCATTAATCTTTCAAAAAAAAAATGACATACCTTTAGATGTGTTGGAAGGACTTTTCCATGGAATATTTCCTAGAAAAGTTACATCATTAAGCATGTTGGAAGGTGTTGGTATTGTGATTTCTGCTATGGATAATAGATTAAGATGTAAAATCTTTAGAAGAATAATCCAACGAATATCAGGATTGGCAAGAAATAAAAATCTAAAAACCCTGATTAATAAAAATACAATTGTAAGTTTTTTAATATAATACAATTATATATATATTCTTTGATGCTAATATTTCCTTTTTTTTTTTTATCAAAAATAATAAAAGCTTTTAGAATGCGGTTTTAATTTGGTTTTAAGTATTTGGGCTTTAGTTGAAAATTTGAAATCAATTAAACGATCTTGTGAATTACTAAAGAATGCTCATACAGATTTTAAAAGCGTGCTTGCTTCTGAAAAATCTCATTTTGACGCTTATCTTAAACATTTGGATTCATTAATTCAAAATATTTTGAATATCCTTGTTAACAAACAATTTCATCTACTTTCAAGTATGTTTCCATATTTTCATATTATCTAAATATCTATATTTATTAACTTTATAAAAATTTAAAAATTTTTATAGCACGCTTAATATCATTGGTTACAGCTGTTGAAAATTTTATGAAAATGATTGAATTGGTTTCAGTTAAATGTGAAAAATATCTCAAAACTTCAGAAGATGAAAAAATTAGTACAACGAATAGATTATTACTTCATGCAGGGTTAATATTTATTTTTTTATAATTTTTTAAAAAATATACCGCAAAATATATATAAAAAACATTATTTTTTAGGGTTGCTGCTGTTGATCTAGTTTTATTTGGCGCAAGGTTTAAATCTAGTCGAGTTATTGAGGTAATGGATAATGAATGATAATTGTTGTTTGATTTATATATATTTATTTTAGTATCAATCAATCTATTTTTTATATATATATACTAAAAGAAAGCGGCACAAGTTGCAGTATTTACTTTAAATGGTATCGCATTAGCTAAAGCATGGGAAGCAAAAAACCACTTATCCAATGTTATCGAGAACCAAACAAAAACGCTTAAAAGATTAAATGAATTACATGCTGTTCTTAAACAAATCTCATTCAAAGGAAGCGTTTTAGATTTGGATGAAAGTGAGCTTAACGAAAATGATTTATTAATTGAAGAATTTATTGAATTTAAAAATCAAATTAAACTTTTTAATGATTTATTTGATGATGTTGAATGAAATTTATTTAAAATTATAAATAAATAAATAAAATGATGAAATTGGAAATAAAAAATTTTTATTACAGGGTTATAAATATTTAGTTGAAGAACCTAAAGATGTTATTGGCCATCTTGGCATATGATCAATTGTATATTCATCCACTAGCCCTTCGCGAAATCTTTCCACGCCAGCCCATGCAACCATAACTCCATTATCAGTACATAAATGTGGTGGAGGGCAAATTAACTGTACGTTGTGTTTTTGAGTTGCTAACAATTGTAAGCTTTTTTATTTTTTTGTTAAAGGAGGGAAAAGATTACAATCTATCAATCAGATTGTATTTTATATATATATATATATATATATATGATTTAAATCAACCAACCTTTCACGAATATTTTTATTACTTGCTACACCACCACTTACAACTAATGACGTTAAAGAGATATTATTTTTTTTGCACCATTGAAATGCCAATTCCATTTTATCAGTTAAATGTTTAATTGCAGTTTGTTGAAACGTTATGGCTAAATCTTTTTTTATAATTGAATCGTTTAAATCTAAATCATATTTAGTGATTAAATTATTTATTGCTGTTTTCAAACCACTAAAGCTCATATCCATAGAATATCTTTGTCTTTCTCCTCTCATCGGTATTGTAACCGAGTACTTTTTTGGATCACCTTCTAAAGCCAATTGTTCCAATGCTGCACCAGGTCCACCTCTACGACCTTTTACCCATGGTATTCCCAACAAGCGCGAAGTCTTATCAAATGCTTCACCAATCGAATCATCCAATGTTGTACCGAGTTGTGTATACTGATTAACATTATGAGTAACTAAAATTAAAGTATGTCCTCCAGATATCAATAAAGTTAAAAATGGAAATTGTAATAATTCAGATCCTGGGCTTGTTAAACGTGCAGTTAAAGCGTGTGCTTCCTTTTTTTTTTTTAGAAAAAAAAAAATCAATTTTCAATATAAAGTAAATAAATAAATATATACATGTAAACTTTTAAAAAACATACCATATGATGTACACCTATTAATGGTTTCCTGATCCAAAATTGAATAAATATTTTGATATGTACAAAGTTTTTTTTCAATGGAAGATCAGAATTTAATTCATTTACCATAGAGCTGCTGCCAAAGTTTTTGCTGCACTTAGACCAATTCCTAAACAGGCTGGAAGTCCCGGTCCTCTAGTCACGGCAATCACATCGATATCACGAATCAAATCTAAATTTGATTTATCTAAAGCTTCACGAACCACCAATGGTAAATTTTGTTGATGACTTGCCATTGCTAAGTTAGGAACTATCCCACCATTTGGTTCGTGAAGGTGTTGTTGAAGATGTATGGCTTCACTTATGATTTGACGATCAGAATTAACTATCGCAACAGCTGTATCGTCACATGAAGTTTCAATTCCTAACACATTAAAAGTTTTTTTTTTTACTATTTTATTTGAAATTGTCGTGAATACTTTACTGGGCAAAAAACGAAACATTTTTTCCGGATCTGTGCACATGATGTATACGGCAATCTTAATTTTACTTATCTCGAATGTGGGGCATATCAGGCCCCCGGATAATTCTAATGGAGGTGGTAGGTGGGCATTTTTTCTTTCTTCCTAACAGATAGACAAAAATGTCCTATCATCCTATTAAAATTCATGGTAAATAATCAACTAGCTATTTACTATCATTACAAATCGATCTTCTTGATTTACTAGTTAGACATCTTGGTAGATATCCGCCTGATTGGGAAGATTTTTCTTTTTGTGCTTTTTAATTCAGCAATTTCTTTTTTTAATTGAACCGAGAGAGAAAGAACCATTTCCTCTTTCTTCCAGTTCTTTTGAGATTTCTCTTTCGTTGGCAAGTCATCATTTTCAACTTCAATTGAGAAGTCCATTGGTCCAATGAATCATTGGACATTTTCCATTGCCAACCAAGCTGTGTGAAAATTACTCCTGAACGGGACAACTTGGACATATATTGTATGACCAATGGTCCATGAAAAGTATTTTTATCAAATTTTTAAAATCACCATCATTCTTATAGACTATATAATTATGAACAAAAATTCATCATTGACGCTAAGCAAGTATTATCAGAATAGGGAAATTTAAAAAAATGATGGTTGCCATAATTGTCGTCATTCTAGTTATAATTAACTTTGTTTTTTTTTTTAAATAGTGCGTACCAATATAGATTGGATCTGAACAAGAAAGAAGAAAACAAAAATAATATATATTATAAAAGAAATGGAGAATCTCATCGAAGGAAAGACATTCAAGTATATATTTACATTGATTAGTTGATTTTTTATTAAATATCTTTCTATTTTTTATTTATGTGTATATATATGTGTGTGTGTATGCATGTGTAGCTGGAAAATTTAAAGGCAGAATTAAGATCGAAAGAAATAATGTGAAAGGCCAGAAGCGAAAAATTGAAAGAGGCACTATCACCAACTTATCGTAAAAGAAACTAAACAAATGGAGACAAGAAGAAAAAACCTGACCAAGTTAGTTAACCGGCTTAGCTTTGATTATCCGGCTAAGTAATTTTTAAACATTACAAAAAGAAAAAAAATCTACATTCATTTGCCCAAAAAAACCACAATACTCGTAGTAATAGTGAATCATTAATGACGACAGCGAATTAAGAGGTATATCATTGAATAATAATAATAATGCTTTAACGTTATAAAGTTGCGTTAGTATATATTAGTAAAATGGTGGCGATGTTAAACAATGTTGAACCCTAAAATCCTTTGTAGTACAAATGTTGTTTATTTTGTTGCAAGCATTCCTCCCCGTGTTATTGGTTAAAAAAAATTTTCTACGAAAATGAAAACGAAATTCTGGTCTGCGAAATGCCTTTTAGGCGAAAAAACTATACAAGGTAGATTAAAATATTTAGTAAAATGGGGAGGTAAAAATAGAAATGGGGAAGTTTGGGAACCGACTTGGGTATTTATTACAATCACAATTATTTGGCTTTTGCCTTGCTTTTTAAAAAGTTATCTTTACTGATAAAAATTACTATTATATTGTAGGAGCCACCATGTAATATTTCCAATGATTTAATTATGGAATGGAATTCAAAAAAACATTCAATGGTAGTGTGTGTGTGTATATATATATATGTGGGTTAATATATTGTTGTATAATTAAATATATCAAATATACCATTATTTTTATAGAAAAATTTTGGCAATTCAGAAAAAAATCGAAAACTTCGTAGAAGATTATCTGCAAGTACCATTAGTGATGATGAGTTAGATACAAGGGAAATAAAAAGACGAAATGTTGTTAAAGCCTCGAGTGTTGAAGATAATATAGATTCAAGTAAAATGGAAACCTCAACAAATGATGATAGTGATGATGGTGCTCTGACATGCAATAGTTATTTGCCAAGCACACCTTTGCTGATTTCTGAATGTGAATCAATATTAAATGATAAATCAGCAGAATTTCAACCAAACCAAACTTTTTTAAAAAAATTTCATGAACTTGTTTCGAATATAGAAGATGATAATAAAATTTATGCAAGTTTTTCTTATTATTTTAAACATATAAACATATCCATGATATGATATGATAAAAAAAAAATCTCATATCTTCACTAAATAATATTTTTATATGTATTTTAAATACCACAGAATTTATACTCATTAAATAATATTAAAGATTATAAACAAGCTATTGCTGTAAAGCATCAACAGAGGAAAGATTATGGAAAGATTTTTGATGACTGTAAAAATCTTATTGAATATTTAAAATCATCAAATGACACATTAAATAAAGAAAAAAATGTCATAAACGCAAAATTGGAAAAAGAAATAAAAAAAGGAGATTCAAATGTAGAACTTTCCATGATAAAACTGGAAAGTTTACAAGAAGAATACAACAGTGATTGTGATGAAATTATATTAGATAATGAAGAAACACCAAGCAAAAATCTTGAAAAACAAAGCAAAGCAAAACTCAAGGAAATTTACAACCTTAGAAAAGTTATAAATGATTTGAAAGAAGATAGAGATGGATATATAAAAACAATAGATAGTTTTAGAGACATCACATCACCAAATTCTGATTCAAAATTCTCATCTGATGAGCATGCAGAACTTATTTCTTCAAAAATACTTTATGCAATGTTAGAACAAAATATTAAATTGGAAAATGAATCAATTAAACAACTATAAATTTTTTGACTGGTTGTAAAAAAGAATTAATAATTATATATTTCAGGAATTTAAAATACGATTGATATTAATAAATAATTAAGCACCTTATGGGTTGGCTTGTGCAGGGCTTATATAATTCATAAAAAACCCTCCTCATCTACCAATTATGTATTAATATTAATATGTGTTAACTACCTTTACACAAAAAATCAATTGTATGATTTTTTTTTGTCAGATGACTTTATACATGAATGAAGTTGACCTCAACCATTTATCTATAGTTTTTCTATGGAGGAAACGTAGGTTGGATAAAATTGCCAATTATCAACATTTACAGAAAAAGTTGTATTATACTTTTTGTGCCAAGGAATGAATAAAATAAATCTCGATGAATGTTCCATGTAAAAATTAGGGGTTTAGTGTTATATTTAAAGACTTCACTATCCAGGAAACACATATCTGGGGTAACAAAAAAGGCCACAAATTAATTTAACTCGTGTAACAGGTATTAAATAAATCCATCCGTGTTGTTATATAAAGGGTCACGTTATCATCTCACAATTTTAAAGATTTTTTCCATCAATTGTAGATCATCCAAATATCTCATAATTGGGCGTATTAATAACAACATATTTTCTCACAATTGCTAAATATTTACACTATTTGCTTCATAAATCATTAGGCTTCAATAAAGTGAAGAATTTGATTCTTCAGATAGCGATGTTTTATCACAGAAGCTATACTTCTAAAAATTCAAAACCAGCCATAGGATTTTCATGGCTCCAATGTTTTGATATGGTTTTCCTAATGAAGAAGTTTTAAATTAGAAGTTTCGTCACCAATTATTAATTCTTTATTATTGCTCTAAATTTTTATATTTAAAGAAAGAATTTGTTTAGATGAAAAATTGCCAATTTTTCTTTGTCTGGATGTCATTTCTCATTTTGACTTAATTGAAGGAAGTAGTAATACTGATTCCTATGTTCATTAGTTTTTTTTACATGTTCTTTAATTTTTTATTTTAAACCTTTTGTACCTGCTGCAAATTTTGTAGTCCCTTCATTAATTCCTTCAGCACCTAAATCCTAAATCAATGGTTATTAACAGTTTTTTTTTGGTTTCAGTTTGCAAATTCATCATTATCAGTTATTTAATTATCTGATAATCTATTGTTGCATTTAATCTTGAATCATTTTAATTTTTTTTAAGGTTAGAATTTTTTTCTATGGGTGATAGATAATCTTTTTTGGTTTGAATATGATAAAATTTTGATTCAATAATTCAAAATTAAATTGGGAAATTCGTGCGACTATATATATATAACCCTTTTTTTTGGTACAATAACAACTTTAAAAAATGCCCAATCCACGCACATGGATAACAAAAGATATATATTTACAATAATGATGCTGCGTTTATATAGTTTGACCATTTGCAAGAGATACGACTTTCCAGTATGCGGTTATCAAGAAAATCTGATGCATCTGTAATTCCGTATATTCCATAAATCCAAAAAGATCAATTATTTTCTTCCTGACTAGTATTCATTCCCGTATAATTATCCTACTATAAATTAAGTTGAGAGAAAATTAATTTGAGAATTGAAAAACTGATTTTGGCAGATGAAGCACAGGGATTTCCAAAAGCTAATCGTGAGGCCGTACATACCGAATTAATGTTTCAATGTATATATTAATTAGATAGGATTAATAATACAGTAGGAGATGTACGCATTTTAACATCATGGTTTGTGTTGACACAGTACAGTCGCCAGGTAATTCCTGGACAACTGCTGTCTGCGAAGCTGCCCGCTCTCAAGTGTAGCTGAAAAGATTAATAATACACTTTAGTCGGCTCCAAATCAGTCGGATGATGTTTTTGCTTTCAAATCATAGTATTGGAATCACTTGATGAATGAAATGGACTTCATTTGCGTTGTTTGACAATACTTCACCTTAAGTAAGTCTTTTTCCAGATAGAGTTTGTAACTATTGACAAATATCCGAGACCGTGTGATTAAAGTTGGTGTCTGCAGCTGGTTGTAGCTAGTTACAGCTAGTTACAGTGTGATTCAAAAAAAAAAAAATGTTTCGATTTATATTTTTTTTGAAGTTATTAAAAAAAAAAACCCCCCATTTGTTTACATGTTAAATGTGATTGGATATTATTGTTTACGTGATAATTAATGTTTGTCATTACCTTTAAATCTTTAAGTTTTGTAAAAAATGGTTAATGCAAAATTAAAGCACAAAGTAAAACTATTTTTGGATGAATGGTATCCATTCACCAAAAGAAATACACAAAAAAAACAAACATACCATTGAGAACAACTTGAGAAATTGGCCGGTTCTATTGAACATAAATGTGGGCATCTAAGGTTACACATAATTTGTCACGTTCTATTTGAAAATGTTGACCACTCGTCACATTGAAGCCTGGATAGCATGGGTACAAGCTCATTTGAATGAAGATTGAGTCGTACAATCTTTACAGGTAAAACAACTTTTGTAACAGGATTTGTAGATGGCATAAAAATGGACAAAGACCAGATTGCCAAAATCACGGCGAAAAGTAAAGGAATTTCATCGAAAGATAAAACACCATTATTCGTTTTACTGATATCATGGATGGGCCTTATTATGTCAACATATTGCAGAACCAACTGCACAAAGGTTGCGTGGTAGAAACTGGGTGCTTGCAACAGGACAATGATCTAAAGCACATGATTAACGTGATTGGTCGGCCATCCAAACAGTCCTGATCTCAAAGTGGACACATTATGAAAAATAATGTTGAAATAAGGATGCCTGAAAACGTTGATGAATTGAAGCAATTTATGGTTGGAGAATTCCTCAGGAGACGGTTACAACTTCTTGGTTGCAAGCACTAAGTTTACGCGTGATGACTGCTTGGCACGCGAAATGTGTACTTTGAAATATACAACAGATTGTGTCTATTCAGGATGTGATCTATCATACCCACTGGAAAGGAACAGAGTAATTGATTTTTCGGTATTAATAGGCTACATTCAGACTGATGTAGTCAGTCACCCATTAAATTTATTAATAACAGATGTCAACTTGTGGATTATCGTGTCATCTAAATATTTACCACTTGTTAATAGTTTTAAGAGGTAATTTATATAAAATACACTTATCTCTAGTAAAAAGACTAAAAAAAGTATTTGTGTCAAAATTTTCTTTGTTGCATATTCATAATGATTTTCATTCATTCAATACTTTTTTGCTTGATTTTATTTTCCAGCAATATATAAAATCATTGTTCCAATACTGGCATAGCTTAATTAAAATCACCAAATTTAGTGTAAAGTAGGCCGCCAAGAATTGAGCCAATACCGCTTCCTAAATGGTTTACACCTACAAGTGATCAAAGAGCAATTGCTCTTAACCCAAGAGATGATGGTTGATTTTTAGTCAATTGTTCCATGTTTTATTGGTTCCTTGAAGCTGCAAATGTGTTTCATCTAATGTATTCAATTTGTACCAATGAATACATAAAGCAATGTTCTTATATTGATGAGAAAATTCTACCAATGATTATAAGTTCGGATCCAATTAATTTTATAATGTGTTTTGAATAGTAAAATATCACAATTTCCAATAAATGTTGCCAAACCTACTAGCATCAAAATACATATATAAAATGATAAATAAATACCTGACAAGTATATAAAAGGAAATGTGAGACAGCAATTTAAGAGTTGTAAAAAAATAAAAAGCTTTTATATTAAATAACAACAATCTTTGGGGAATTATCTTCAATTTGAATAATATTCGCAGTTGTTACCTCCTTGTTATAAATTTGGAAACATTTATTTCATCAAGCTTTGACAACATTTTGCTTTATATTGTTATTTCATTTCAATTCTTTTTTGTATAATGACGAACATTGCATGAAATGATGGATATTATTCCAAGAAGCGCGTGTTTATTGCTCCACAAGATATTTATTGCACCCTATAATCTCTTAAAAAAACGCGTAACTTTAGTTTGTGATATCAGAAATTTAATTTTTCCATAAAATTATTTTTATTTAACCTAATTTCCATAAGCTAAAGGAAGTAATACACAGTGAATCTTAATTTAGCGTATCTCAGTGTAACGGATGCTAATTAAAAATCTTGATTTTAACGGATTGATGGTTTATAATAAACTATAATAATAAAATTCTTCTTGATATAACGGGCTTTTGAAAAAAAATCCAAATTATCCGCCAAACCGAGCGAGATTCACTGTGTAATATTTTGATAGTTTATGTAAAGCCAAACTATCCAATAAAGGTCGACCATTGAAAAGTTTCATGTTTCACAGATGCTATAGTAATAGCAAATTTGAATTGATGATGATGACACAATATTAAAATAATTCAATGTGCTTTAAATATATATATATATATTTTTTTTTTTTTTTTTTTTGAAAAAAAATATATATATAGAAGGATTAAAAAATATATTATCAAAGAAAACATATATTAAAAAATCAACATTTACACACCATAGATAGACAAGGACTAAAAATGTCAACAAATGACACAATTGCTAATTTCATTCTTGAAAATATTCAACGTTTTTCGACGGGAACAAAGAAATATAGACTAAAACGCAGCCACAAGAAACAAATAATTCAATTTAAACATTATAAAAGCGATTTTAACACCCTTATCACAAAATCAATCAATTAAAAAAGATACGTATGTCTTTAACCTTTAAACATTTAGTAAGTTCCAAATGTCTATTAAAGAGGTGTAACGTAATGGATAACATATTCAAATTCATATTCAAATGTCCAGACATTTTGTGCAAAAAGCTTTTCTTGCAGGATATCAGAATAAGTAAGAATACAAAGAGGTGTACCCTGATCTAAAGAAATTCATAGATGAGATAATGTCAACCATTGATTATTATTTATGTATAAGATGGACATGTATGTAGATGTGAAATGTGTACAACATCTAACAAAACATTTTTCGGTTCCCAAAAAGGGGGAAAGGAATAATAATATTTATATTATCTTAGAATAAGTATTGTTTGAATAACAAACTTTTGGTAAGTCGCTCAAATAAATTTGTGTGAAATCGAAAGACCTTTTTTACATTTTTGGAATGTAAGAAGGAATGATCTTATCACCAACCAAATTTGTGATTACTAGTACCATAAAAAGATATAAATATAAATAATTTTCAAAACCAAGAAATTCTCTTTTTATTATTTGTGAGATAAGGTGAGAATTTCTCCAATTGTTTTCATAATTGTCAATATTTAGAAAAATATTTTTTCATTTTTCTTTTTTATTTAAAATTTCCTATTCTTGTTGTGTCGCAGTTTTTTGTTCGGAGGCCTTTGCAACGGTATTTATTATTATTGTTTAATCCGTTTCTATCTTCTATATTTGTTGAAATGTTTCCCAGGTAGTCTCTTCAATGAACTTTGTTTATTTATTTATTTATAAATAAATAAAATCATCGTCAATTTACCACCAATCAGTTCTATTATTTATTTACCTTCAATAACAAAGAAAAAAAAAAACCAAAAATCGACCAACAAAAAACCAGAAAATTTAAGTACGTTTATTCTATTTTAAATTTTTACCCCGATTCCATTAAATAAAAATTAAATAAAAAAACTCCAAAAAAAAAAAATTTCATATTATATAACTTTTATTATTTACATTTGTATTAATTTTACGTATCTACATTTACTTGTTATATTTTTTAAATAGAATTCCAATACCAACTAATAAATAACCAACCAAAGTCAACCAAAAATTTATTATATAATCTGTTGAATTTTCTTTTTCACCAAACAAATATCCATCCACAAAATATAATTTTCCAACAAAAAAAATTTAAATTTTATCAAACCAACAAATTAATTTAACATTTTTTAAAATTTAAATTATTATAGCAACAAAACAAAAAACATCAAAACTTTCTTTTCTCTTAATTCACCTTCATTTTAATTATCACTTTAAAAAATATCTATTTTTATATTTAAAGAATCCTATAATAGTAATAGCAGTAATAGCCAAAATAAATACATCTTATTATTACTATGGAAGAAGGTATCTCGTATAACTTTACTCACGTGAGACAAAGAAGAGAGAGTAGGGAAGAAATGTATGCATAAAAGAATTTTCCAAGCTTTTCTTTAAAAAAATTTTAGACTAAAATTTTTTTCCTTAGCAACTATGAACTTATTTTACGACAACAACCAAAACAATCAAGAATGTGTGGAATAGGTGAAAAAGGTACAAAAATTTTCATCTAATTAGATGGATTACCATTTATCTTTAATAACACATACATACATACATACACACACTATTTATGCATTCATTCAAAAAAGTTTTTTAAACACACTCACCATAATTCATTTGATCTAAATAGCTGATCGTCGACCAATAGACCCACCACCAATAATTCAATTAAAAGTCTATGACTCGTGTCTTACCCAACCTGAGAATAGGTAGGTAGATAAAGCTTTGGATATCACCTGATTTATCACATGATAACGTCCCTAATCCATCCCCTTTTGATACTCAAAAAAAAAATAAAGTTCGTTTCTCCAGAATCCCTATTACTTCATGTACGCTTCTTTGGTTGCTCCAGACACTGACGAAGAACTTCATTTGCTTCGTGATGGAAAGACTCGTTCTACAACAGGTTCTGTAGTCTCTTCATTGTATCATTTAAAAGACACAGACAATTCAGATGCGGGTTTCTTTGTGTTTCCTGATTTGTCCGTAAGAATGGAAGGAACTTATCGTCTGAAATTAAGTTTGTTTGAAATAATCGGGTAATTTACTTTTCTAAGTTATATATATATAGTCTTATCAATATCATTGTTTCTATCAATGAATATGCATTTTTATTAATTAATATTTATGTTACAGATATGAAATATATCATTGTAAGTCAATCTTTTCAGATGTGTTTATAGTATACTCAGCAAAGAGATTCCCCGGAATGGAAGGTTTGTCAAAATTATTAATTCTTGGCCAAATTTTTGTTTCATTTTATATTCTAATAAGCACATTCTATTTATGTATTTTTTTAGAATCTACCTTTTTATCAAGATCTTTTGCCGATCAAGGGTTGAAAATTCGAATAAGGAAAGAAATCAGAATAAGAAGGTTATTTGGTGACTTATGTGATAACTGACTTATTATTACATCAATTGTTAATCAGATAATTTGTTTATGATTCCTCTCGAACTTCTTAGACTGACTTTCTGTTTTTTTTTTTTTTTTTCATAAAATGTAAGCAGGCGGATAGCAAAACGGGATAGAAAAGAATTAGATCATAATGAAAATACAAATAAAACAAAAAATAAACGTGCGCGTGCTAATAACAAAATTGATGACGAAAGTCATGGTAGTATAACTGATGATGATAATGATGCTGAAATGCAAGACAGGGGTTCTGTTCATTCAGTCGAAAGCTCAAAAGCAAGCCCTGATTCTTCTCAAGCAATGATTGTTGATAAACAAAGAGATAACGCTACTCCAACTTCTCCACACATTCGCACCTCTTATACTCACCAACCGCCGCCGCCGCCGCCACCGCCGCCCCATGTGTCACATTATGAACAAGGTTATCCTGGCTATCATAGGCAAATTCCTTGGCACGAGAGACCTGATTATTTACAAGATCCTCACTATCCTCCTTATTATGATCCTTATGATAGGAGATATGCTTATCATCATCCTTATTATTACCCACCACCACCTCCTCATTTACCGGATGCTTCTGACCATCGTCGGTACTCATATCCTCCTCCGCATCATCCACTCCCTCCACCTTCTCCTTATCCTAGAACTATGTATCCAGGTCAAGCAATGCCTGGATATTATGGCACTACTCCTGACAGTAGAGTGTCTTCACGCTCTTCAACTGAATCTTCTAGTACTCCTAGACCTTATGCTTATGAATCCACCAGTCCTTATCCTCCTCCTCCTCCACGTTGGTCACATTACCATGAACATCCAAAACCTAGAGATATTAATTCTGATTCTTCGGCAACGTCTTCTTATCGTCCTTCCGGTCCTATGACCTCTCCACATCCTCATCCTATGTATTCTTATCCCCCACCTGATTATTATGGCCCATATGCTCATCTACCACCACCACACCTTCCTTCTGCTATTGTAAATACTGGTACTCCTAGTGCAGCAACGGCCTCATCACCTCCATCTAAAACAGATAATAGATCAACTGGCCAACCTGATTCAAACTCAACTGGCCAACAACCGTCAGCTAAAATAGCAATTCAAGATTTGGTTTCATCATCGTCATCATCATCATCTTCTGAAAAACAGACTAATTCCAATGTTGAACATTCAGTTAATAATAATGCCTCTAATGTATCATCATCATCATCAGCATCCCCTCCTTCTAAAAAGTCACAACCTCCATCATTACCACCACACCACCATATGTATGCAACGCCACCATCCACCTATAGTCATTATTATCCTCTTCCTCCTATACCAATTCGAGGGCATGAATATCCTTTTAGACATGATATGTATGGTCAACACTCTCGTCATGAACATAATTATCAACCACCACGTCATGATGTTCCAACATCACAGTATTCCCACAACAATCATACAAGCACCACATCAAATAAAAACACACAACATTCTTCAAATCTACATTATCCTAGTGATTTAACACGTTCAAAGACAAATCAAAATGATATTAATAATAATAATGGTAGTGGTGGTGTCAATAATAATAGTCATGGTAGTAGTAAGAATGACAAAGATAATAGTAACAGCAATAGCAGTAATATAAATTACAATAACAATAATAGCGATAATAATAATAATAGCAATGGCAGTAGCAAAAATAATCAAAAATCATTATCAACTAAAAGTACATCATTTCCAACTTCACCAGTTCGAGTTAGATCAACGGTTTCGCTGCCACCAATAAATATTGATGAACGTTATTCTTCTGTTGGATCTCCCGGTAATAATCAATCACTCACATCGTATCGCCCTGGAACAACAAACAACACATCATCTCCAACAAAATCAACATCTCAAAAAATTTCACAACAAAAATCGTCGCCATCATCATCATCTCCATCGTCATCATGATCATACTGTGATGGTTATATGTTGTTGGCGTCATTTAATTTCAAATTATTTTTGTCAATCATTTGAAATAACTTTTTAAAAATTTATATATATATTTTTTTTTGTAAACAAAATTAAAAATAAAAAAATGTTAAAATCCAATTTAACTGCAGGGCTCGAAATACTGCGCCAATTAAAAAAACTGACCATTTGAACCACCGATTTCTATATACAACATTTTAGGGCACGAAATTTTGGGAGACAAATTTACGTATGAAGGTCACATTTATAAAAATTTCTAAGGGGTTACTAGAATTAGAAGCTAATTTCGCTAAATCTAAATCTAAATATTAATATGCGCCATTATAATTTCACTTCTGTTTAGATTTTTAAATTTTATTATTATTAAAATAATAATAATTTGATACAAAGATCATTTTAATGTCAAAGAAAAAATCAATAATAATCAATGTTCAATTTCTTTTGTTTGTTTTGCATTCATTCATTATTTAGGAAATGTTGTAGTATATACACTACCTAGAAAAAAGTATTTGGACATCTATTTACATTAATTACCCAAAAACATACATAATAACTATACATAAAATTTATATCATTTTATAGCTTAGGTTTTGAGGAATATTCATATAAAATTTTATTTTTTCAACTTATGTGAAACTTTAATAAATAAAAAAACTCGAACTTCAATTGAAAATTTTTTGAACAAAAAATTGTTTATCAAAATGCTCAAAAACCCACATAATTATTATGCATAAAATTTATATTATATTAAACCCTTAAAATCGGAGAGTATCTATGCAAAACATCACTTTTCTATTATGTTTAGTAGTACCTTATCAAATAAAAAGCCAACATGATCTAAAATGATGATCTGCAATCTTTGTTTTAAAAAATATAGAATTGACAAAATTAGAACAAGGAAAATTTTGGGTCTCCATGCTAGCAGTAAAAGTATTCATGAGATATCTAGGATGATTAAAATCCCTAAAAGCACAGTTCAATATACTATAGCATGTTATTCTAATTCTGACAATATGAAAAGTGCATCAAGGAGTGGAAGACCCAAATCTTTAAATAAAAAAAAAATTGTTGATAAAAATAATTCAATTCTCTAGATAAGATACAAAGAAAGTTTATTAAAAAAAGTGGTGTTGAGGTTTCCACAAGAACAATCCAAAAGAATCTTCATGATCTTGGAATTTATTCACAGACTGCAGCAGTAAAACCTCTTTTAACTGATGAACAAAGAATAAAAAGATTAAATTGGTGTCTAGGAAAAAGAAATTGGAGTGTTGCAAAATGGAAATCTGTGATATGGAGTGATGAATCTCGATTTACTGTATTTGATAATGATGGACCAATGCATGTTTGGTGAAGAGATGGGACTCAGTATAATATTAAAAAATTGGTTCCATCTGTAAAGCATGGTGGTGGTGGAGTAATGGTTTGGGTGTGTTTTTCTGGAAAGGGATTGGGTCCTTTGGTGAAGGTTGATGGGAAAATGATTCATTTCAGTTATATTCAGATTTTAGAAAAGAACTTGTTACAATTAATAGAGAGGGATTTTGATGGAAGTGGTTATTTTTTTTCAAGACAATAATGCACCAGTTTACACAGCCAATGATGTTCAAATTTGGATTCAAACAAACAAAGTAAAAATATTAAAAGAATGGCCATCTCAATCACCTGATCTTAACCCAATTGAACATCTCTGAAGTGAGCTGGAAAGGAGATTAAAAAATTGAAAAAATCATCCAAAAAATGCAAGTGAACTGGAAATTGCACTGAAAGAATAATGGCAGCAAATTCCTTATGAAAAATTACATACACTCATTGAAAGCATGCCAAAAAGAATTAAAGCATACATTTCTAATGAAGGATGGCTAACTGAATATTACTTTTTTTTTTGTTCCTCAACTTTTTGATTTAATTTTGATTTCAATCAAAAAATTTTTTTCCATTTTGATCATCAAATTCATATTTTTTATTTATTAAAGTTTCACATAAGTTGAAAAAATAAAATTTTACATGAATATTCTTCAAAACCTAAGCTATAAAATGATATAAATTTTATGTATGTTTTTGGGTAATTAATGTAAATAGGTGTCCAAATACTTTTTTCCAGGTAGTGTATATACAGAATATACTGTCATCTTATCTCAAATTAAAATCCCTATTTTAAATTGTGGTTTTTATTTATTTATTTTCCTAATACTACATACAGTA